GGGGCCCTGGTGCACCTGGCTTCAGAGTAAAAGCCTCTCACTGGTAGCCTGTTCCCAGGAGGAGAAAAGCTGTGGCATGGCTGTGCCAGGTGTCCAGGGTCCATCTGGGAGTTTTCTGGGAGATCTATCAAACCACTCAGGCAGCCTGGCTATCCATTATGCCTGGATGTGGTCTTCAAAGCCTTTCGCTATCAGACAGGAGCCAAACACCACGTGGGTAGCCTGGGGTCCCGGCTGGTGCCAGTTTGCAATGGACAAGACCCCCAACACGAAGCAGGAAGCCTCTGTAGCCACTGCCCTCCCCCATCCAGGCCATTGTATTTGGAAGGAAGAATGTTGACCAGGACCTCCATGACTCTAGTTTCGTAGCAAAAAAGAACACTCCGTATCCCAGCGTTCACCTGTAGCCATGTGAGCAAATGCCTGCTGCAGGGGATTTCTCCTGGACCAGGTGTCCCTGTGACCTTCAGGCTGGGGTCTCACCCTATTCCTTCTCCTGACCTGTCCTGCCTCTGCTCAGAGCATGAAGGAGGTGTCTAAGCAGTTTCCAGAGAAAGGAGAACATGGACAGGAGCCAGTTCTCTAGGATTGCCTGGGCCCAGAGTTCTCAGGAGGTTGAAGGGTCCCTAAGCCTGAGACGGCAAGTGCCTTAGTCCAGGTCCTCTGAGACGCAGACACTGAGCCAGGATTAGATGTGGGTGAGATGTGTATTAGGGGAAATACCTGTGAGGGGAAATGAGGAGGGAGCCAGAGGAGGCAGAGTCCACAGATTGTGATGCAGCTGGGAGCCCCATGATGGAGGGAGAGAGGGAGGGGACAGAGGGAAGAAGGGAAGGGAGGGAAGGAGGGGAGACAGGGCAAGAAGGGAGGGAGGGAGGAAAGAAGGACAGAGGAGGAAAGGAAAGAACAGAGGGAGGGGAGGGAGTGAAGAGAGGGAAGAAGGGAGGGAGGGAGGGAAGAGAGTGAAGAAAGGAGGGAGGGAAGCAAGACTCTGGGGCTGCACAGTTCTAAGTCTCAGCAGGTAGAGCAAGAGGTCCTGGAGCCCAGGCTGTCCTCTGGAGGAGCCCTGTCATGCGGACTCAGGAGGCCTCCATATCCCTGCCTCATGCAGGCACTGGGAGCACCCTGCAGGAAGTGTGACCTCCACGCTCACACAGGGAAGGATTTCCGAGCATGGCAGGAAATCCCCAGGATGTTAGTTGTTTTTGCTCCTTGCTGTTGAGGACCCAAGAGGTACATGTTCATAGCCACCACAGCCAGAACAAGGCGGATGAAGAGCTGACCTCAGACCAATTCCGGTGGCTGCATTGCAGGCCATGCTGGAGGGCAGGAGGTGCATCAAGAAATGGACCAAGCCCATCAGCGGGAGCCCAGTGGGGAAAAAATAGATTGTCCAATCTGCTGACTCAGGATCTCTGGGATGGGGCTAAGAATGTTTTTAATGAGCCCCTGGGTAATGCTGACACACAGCCAAATCCATATGCCACGGGGAGAACTTATTCCCAGCCTCCCTCCCTCCCTCCTTCCCTTCCAATCCATACACCACAGGAGGAAAGTATATACTCAGCCTTCCTCCCTCCCTTCCTTCCAATCCATATGCCACGGGAGGAAAGGAATATTCCCAGGCTTCCCTCCCTCCCTTCCACCAGGTGACCATGAATGCCTGTTATACACCAGGTGGCATGTGGCCGGTCAATGGTGTACATTCCAGGGGGGATGTCAGGTGCAAATCAAATGATTCCTCAAAGCACCAAATTGCACACTCTGTTAAGGGCTATAGAGGAAACATTTAGGGGAGAATAGAGAATCCCCTCTCCCACTCTTCTGGTCTCCATAGAGGGAGGGGCTTCCACTGTCTGGGGGAGAGCACAGGGGACTTCCCCGGCCCCTCTCCCTCTCTCTCTTTTAATCTTCTTTGGGGAGGAGGAGAAATACCTGATTGGCCAGTCTGGAAAGGATTACTCCCAAGACAGTGCCTGCCTCTGGATCAATTCGTTCCCCCTATAAATCATGTTTTACCCTCTAAACAGTCACATTTCCCCCATTTCCCGACTCCCTATGAGGAGGGGTGTGGAAGCACCTGGACCTCACTGGTTTGTGGGCCCGTCACTCTCCTGCAATTCCCCCTGCCACGCACATTACATTGGAATGCTTTTCTTTTTCCTATTGGTCTGCCTTGGTCAGTTCTTTCTCAAGGAGCCTTCACAGGGTGGAGGAAAAGCTTGCCCTCTGTGCCCCACAGCTGATTCACTGTAAAGCTAATGGAACTCACACTTCTGACACCTGTGCACAGACCCCACCAAGGCCCGGGATTGGCCTTAGCCACAGGTTCACCAACACATTCCTTATAGCTTACAATGCCACAGTCAGATCTTTTAGCTGCAATCCTTAAGACCACTGTTCCCTTTCCCGCTGATGCCACTGCATGTCAGGTGACACTAGGGAGGCCTGGGACATGTGGAGGATCTGGGTAAGGGCCGGTTGAGTTGGGTTTCGTGGGGTTGTTTACGTGGGTCTCACTGTACACCTCTGTGTATAGTTCTGAACTTGGACAAGAAATAGAGGAAGGTTATTTGTCTCGCCCCAACCCCGATCCCAGCAGCAAAAGCACACAGGACCTAGAGTCTAAGGGGGGCCCTGACCTTGTTCAGGGTTGGGGTAGAGGGGGATCTCTGGAGATGTGAGTCCTGCCTCCATGTGAGGAGTGGCTAGGAGCCACTGGGCAGAGGGCTGGGGAGGGGGCAGGGGTCTTCCAGACAGAATGCACATCACGAGCAAAGGCCCAGTGCGGGGAAGGGGTGTGGCCCACGTGAGGCCATGAGAGGAGACAGGGGCCGGGTGTGAAGGGGAAGGGCGTCTGCTGGGCCACAGGGGTGGGCTCAGCCTAGACCTCTCTGGGCCTCATGGTCCATGGTAAAGATCTGGCTTTTTCTCCTAAGAGCCAGGGAACGCCGCCCATAAGGCCAGGCAGATTTGTGTTGGAGAACATGTGACGGGCAGACGGCGGGAGCAGGAGAGGCAGCAAGATCAGCACCGCCCTGGCCAGGGCCTCAGGAGGAACGCTGTGCAGAACGTGACCCCTGGCTGGCCGGGAGGGTCCTGGGAGAGTGCACTCACCCTGGGAGGGTACAAAGAACCGCACTGGCTTCATCCTGGGGTCTCAGGCCAGAGGGTGCTATTTTCACCAAAGAATTAATTCATGAATTCATCATAATACATCATCTGTCATGGTCCCCTTCCAAATTCACATCCGTCCATCACCATAACAGCCCACAGCCCATAATAAGAACTGGGGATGGTAACCAAAGTGGAGGCAGGGCACCTGAGAGGCATCCTGGGGCCGCACTGCTGATCCTCTTCTCTCTCCCCTGGCCCTGAGTGTTGCCTTCGTGTGGCTCAGCCCTTCCATCCTTCAAGCCTTCATCAGCTCCAGGGTGGCCCCGAGTCTGTGCCCAGGTACACTGGCTGGCATGCAGTGTCTTCCAGATAGCCATATCTCATTTTAATCAGGGAGCAATTCCAGCGTGGAAGTCCCCATCATGCTCCCGTTGGCAGGTACAGGTGCCAGTTTGTGACGGATGAAAGCACCGACAGCCCATGTGTCTTCATCATGGAGGCCTGTGCCCCAGACTGTGCCCAGCACAACAGCTGGGCAGCAAGGGTGGGGCAGGGTCGAGCAGCAATGACACATTCCCTTTGGCTGAGGAAGCCACCCCGGAAGCAAAATGCTCCATGCAACAGCCAGGGAGTCTGGCCGCAAGCTTGGTGGCGGGGAGACAGCCAGGAGCCTTCTTAGAGGAGAGGGGTCCCGTGATCGAGGTCAGGAGTTCGAGAGCAGCCTGGCCGGTATGGCGAAACCCCGTCTCTACTAAAATAAAATACAAAATCATTTAGCCAGGCGTGGTGGCACATGCCTGTAGTCCCAGCTACTGGGGAGGCTGAGGCAGGAGAATCGCTTGAACTCAGGAGGCGGGGCTTGCAGTGAGCCAAGATCGTGCCATTGCACTCCGGCCTGGGCGACAGAGCAAGACTCTGTCTCAAAAAAAAAAAAAAAAGGGATTTCTATGCAAAGCAGGTTCTGAGAATATTGCACCGAGGAAGCCACAGCTTTGCACAACTCCATGGAATAATGAAATACTTTAGTGAACCACAAGAGGGAGCTGTCGGTTAACTTTGGAGAGCCCACTGGCTGATGGGTGAGGAAATTGAAGAAAGCACGCTGATATTAAGTTTTGGCCACTTCTGGGAAAGAGTCACTCGTTCCTGACTAAGAGAGTCTATTTCGCGTTTTAAGAAATGAGAAGTCACAAATGGCCCAGCAAATCCCTGAGAGAGGCTCCCAGAGCCAGAGGGCTCACTAGGTTCTGGGGATTTGTGGACATGTCCACGCCTATGTCCTGGATTTGACAAGGGCAGGCACCCTTTGACTCAGCGCAGTGGGTGATATCCTGGGGACACAGGGCAGTGTCTGGCGACATTCTTGGTTGCCACGACTGGTGGGAGTGCTGGCATCTGGTGGGCAGAGGCCGGGGCACTGGAACATCCTGTGATGCTCCGGGCAGCTCCTTCCCCTGAAGAATGATCTCGCCCGAAATGTTCACAGTGCTGAGGGTGACGGTCCCTAACCTCCACGAAAGGAACAATTTTCCCTCCAGGTGGGAAAGGCCTCTCCTGGCTGTGGTGAGATGGGCTGGTCTGGAAGTTTCTCTCCAAGTGGGAAAGGCCTCTCCTGGCTGTGGTGAGAGGGGCTGGTCTGGAAGTTTCTCTCCAAGTGGGAAAGGCCTCTCCTGGCTGTGGTGGACAAGAGGCTTGTCTGGAAGCTTCTCTCAGGGTGGGAAAGTCCCCTCCTGGTTGTAGTGTATGAGGGGCTGGTCTGGAAGTTTCTCTCAGGGTGGGAAAGGCCTCTCCTGGCTGTGGTGAGATGGGCTGGTCTGGAAGTTTCTCTCCAAGTGGGAAAGGCCTCTCCTGGCTGTGGTGTGAGGGGTTTGTCTGGAAGCTTCTCTCCAGGTGGGAAAGGTCCCTCCTGGCTGTGGTGTGAGGGGCTGGTCTGGAAGCTTCTCTCCAGGTGGGAAAGGTCCCTCCTGGCTGTGGTGTGAGGGGCTGGTCTGGAAGCTTCTCTCCAGGTGGGAAAGGTCCCTCCTGGCTGTGGTGTGAGGGGCTGGTCTGGAAGCTTCGCTTCTCTCCAGGTGGGAAAGGCCTCTCCTGGCTGTGGTGGACAAGGAGCTGGTCTGGAAGCTTCTGGATGCTCTCAGCATCTATCCGGGAGAGCAGGCACCCCCATGACATCTCTCTGCAGGGGGAGGGGGTCTGCTGTCTGGAAGAAGCCACCCCACAGGTGAAGCGAGGGTGGGGCCACACCCTCTTCCTCATATTCTAAGTGTCCTCAGAGAATACATTTCTGCAGGTGTCATTATGTATCTGTGTGTCCTCAGCTCCAGGTGGGCCAGGACAGGCCTCCAGCCCAGGGATTGCAGGGTCTGCATCAGGGGTCCTTGGCCTGAGACTCGGACCCCTCAAGACATCCCTCCTGGGGGAGAAGGATCCGTGAGGCATCAAGCCACCGCTCCAAGCCAAATGAGATGCAAACTCACACAGACGTGTTTCCAACATGGGAATGCCTAGTTTTCTCAGGTGACAGCACCCACCATACTCATTTATGCTTTTAGGGCACATTTCTAGTCTTTCTCCATCCCTCTCAGAGGAGCCTGTGATGTAGAGATGCCACTGTCCTCTCCCTCCTCGCCCCCTGTAGGCGCTGTGGGAGGGAAGGCGGAGTTCACACCCAGACCCAGGGCTTTGGGTCCTGTCCCGCTGTCTGGTCTTAAACTACAAGTTGCTTCTTCTCTTTAGCATCTTCTTTGAGTTCTCACTGTCCCCAGCTTCACTTTCTTGCTGACTCAGCCTTTTCCTGCTGAAAACAGGAAAGAAAGGCAGCCAGTCAGGATGCTGACTCCATGCCCATCCTGATGCCGTAACTTACCCAATCGGATTAAATGAAAATGCAGCCAGAGGTGGTCAAAACAATTTTCACTTTGACATGGGTCATTAAGAAACAAATAGAATCCCTGTTTCCCTCTCTTGGGTAGGAGGTCATGCAAGTGCCATGACCACAGCCAGCCCTGGTCAAACAGGGGACTGCCCAACACTTCAGGCTGGATGCCAGTGGGGCATGGAGGTAGGTCAGGGCTCATCTGGCCAAATGAGACACAAACAGGAAGGGTATCAGCCATGTGGCACCCCTGCTATCATCATGGCTTACTGCCCACAAATTGCATTCATATCCATCATTTCTTGAAGCTTCACATTTAATGCCTCTGAGGGGACTGATTTTCCTGCCCAGACTTTTGACACATAGCAGCTGAGTGCATTTACCAAACCCAGCCACAGGCAATAGGCCCGGGGCCCAGTCGTACCTGAGTGAGCCTGAGGTGTGGTCCCCGGAGGCGAGGTCCTCATCGTTGGGCACCCCCAGGTCCCCTCTTTCCCGGGGCAGGGGCTTCTTCTTTTTAGTCCTTAGGGGCTTCTCTGTAGAGGACAGATGAACTCAGGCATGGCTCTGCGACTTTAGACAAGTGACAACTTCTTGCAACCTCACGCCAACCCAGCCTGACGTTTTTGAGCATGTTGTGTGGGCCAAATGTGTGCTTGGTACCTTATGCTATTACAGCCACTCAACTAATGAGGAAACTGAGGCCCGGGAAGGTGACGTACTCTCCCAAGCCTGCACAAGCCAGTAAGTGGCAGAGCCGTGGCTTGAGCTGCAGTCTGCTAGGCCCCCACTGGGTTTCCACTCCACTCAGCTGACTGGAAGACTTAACGAAGCAGCAAGCAACTGAAAACGCAGCACCAGTGTGATAGCTTTTGTTTTAACAGATCTCTGTGTTCTCATACCACCTTTTGAGTCGCTCTCCCATTACCAGGCTAAAACATCCTGTGATGTCACTGAAGTTGTCGCTGGCAGGGGTGGGAGGAGGGCTTATTATCCCCACTTGGCAGATGGAAAAATGGAGTCAGTAAGGAGACACGGCCAGTGAACACCAGACCTAGGAACTGGAATTATCCAATGCTAGAGAGCAAGCGGGCCTGCGGGGTGGCCTAGCCAAGCCTGCTCACTTACAAAAGCCCAGAGAGGCTAGGCACAATGCCTAAAGCCACACAGCGAGTGAGCAGCCAGTGTGGAACTAGAACCCACATCTCTCAGCCCAGAGCGCTTCCCGCTGCAGCGCAAGCATCTGCGACTCACCCAGCAGCCCACGCTTAGCGGGGAACAGTCTGCTTTCAGCGAGGGGCACTCGGGCCAAGGCTGCCAGCTCGGAGATGAAGTTCTGTTCAGCTTCCTGAAATGCAAGCAGAGAGGAGCATTCAGCTGGACCTCCCTCTGCCTTCCGGACTTCTCTAAATCCCTCTCCCCTTGGTGAAGTCTGACACTCGAGTCTGGCCACCATGTCCCCAACGTGGAGGAGAATTTTCTAAGATACATCCCAGAGAGGAGAGGAGCAGGAGGACGCACTGACATCTACCAGCTCCTGCTGCGTAACTGTGGGTCCTCACTCACACCGGCCATCGGTCTTCAGTTGACAGAGTACACTGAGGTCAGAGGGCCTCAGTGACCTGCCCGGAGCAGGTGCAGCAGAATAGGATGGGACCCGCTTCTGCCCGACTCCACCGGCTGGGCTCTTAACTGCCAACACCGTGGTGTAAACAGACACACCAGAGTTCCATGACGCATTACCTGTGTGACCCTGGATAGCAACTTAACCCGTGTGTGCCTCAGTTTGTCTATCTGTAATGGGGACAGTAGCAGTCACCTCTTTTGTTGGAAAGTGTGTAAAGCTCTCAGCTCATGACTGTCTATCATAGACCCTCAGTAAGTACCTATCGGCACCACTGCTGGATTGTTATCATTGTACTCTGCGATTGCCATCGCCAGTGGAGAACACTCAGAAAGAGCCAACACTCTGCGAGATGCTTCCATTCTGGAAGATTTGAGTTTTTTAAAGGCAGCCACTTTGCTTAGCCACACTTTATACTCTCACCTTACATCTCACTGTAGAACCTCACACAGATGGGATTTTCTGTGATGAAATATGCACCTTCTATCATGAGAGCTGAGCTTCCTGTTTGCTGTAAATAAAGTGTAAACTTTAGCTACCGCCAACACTGCCTGAGTGACACAGAGGTCACCATTACACCGGAAGCCTCCTGGTGGCCATGCACACACAGGGAACTGCCCAATTCTCTGTCAGGTCCATAGATGAGGCCTGACCAGCTGCTCAGGGCCTGGCCCTGCTTGGGGTGCTGCAGCCACTGGAGGGATCCACACAGGCCACACCTGCCCTCCAGGGGCTCAGGGTCCCAAGGTGAGGCTGACGCACCCTTAGCAGCTGAGACTTGGCGGGTCAACGATGCCACAGACAGGGAAGTGCAGGGACCAAGGAGTCCCCTCACAACAGTCCCCATGGCTGACCCACGGTCACAGGCTGGCTTTTGCTAGTTCTGCTCCTCTGTCAACCACTGCTTTTTGAAGGCCCAGTTCTGTAACTTGTACCTGCAGCTGGGTCTCCAGCTGGGCTTCCAGAAGGTCCATGACTCCTGCCTGCTGTTGCTGGGCGTGCAGACGCATCTGCTGGTGCACCGGGAACTGGGCCAGGAACCTCTTCTGCTGGGACAGCATCCTGCGGGGAGGAAGGCAGGCAGGCAGGGAGGCAGGTAAGCAGGAAGGGAGGGAGGAAGGGAGGAAGGAAGGAAGGAAGGAGAAGGGAGGGAGGGAAGGAGGGACAAGGAAGGTAGGGAGGCCGCTGACCCCTGGGAGCCCCAAGAGGGGCCTGGCCATCAGGGGCACCATTCACAGTAGCTCCAGCTCCAGTCCCCGCAGGCAGGCTGCCTCTCCAGCAAAGCGGACGCCCTTTACAACATGGAAGTTTACAGAGTCCTGCCCACAGTTTCCATGTGATCTTTGGAGGAGCTTCATGACACCAGCAGCAGAGTAGAAAAGCCAGGGGGAAGAAGCCCAGAGAGGTGGGGGCCTCCCTGAGGACACACATCTGTGAGGTGGCTGAGCAGAAGGTGGCATCTTCTCATGAGAAAACAGTCTTACCCCCAGGGAGGGGCATTCTTCTAAAAGGAGCAGAGGCCTACCCGCTACCCATCCCTGATTTTAAATCTCAGAATTGCCCTGGCCCCTCCCTTGTAAAATGAGAAGCTTCTTGGGATGCAGCCTCTGGGAAATCCCAAATATGGCAGGCAGCCCTGTTACTCTCAGAGAGGGGGACAGAGCTGGAGCAGAGGCCAGGTCCCTGAGCCCCAGGGCCCACCCACCTCTCTGGATGCCCTCAGTTCCTCAGCAAACAGGAACATCCAAATCCAGCCACCCTGTTTCCATTATTACTCCCTGCCTGCCTGCTTGCCTCCCATCTTTTAGGGCAGATTTTCTAAAAGGGTTCAAATTTCCAGACCTGAAGGCAGGGCCACCTTTAGCATGGACAGGCAGCTGTGCGTGTGGAGTGCCCGGAGGTGTGAAAATGCCACCCTGCTTCTACCTCATGCTCTTCTGTCTGCCAGTAACACCTTTCATCTCTGTGTTTTTGCCCAGCAAATTCCTGTGCATCCTACAAGACCCTGTCATCCATCCCTCCACCCCTCCCTCCTTCCCTCCTTCCCTCCATCCATCCATGCACTCATTCATACATTAAAGTATTTCTGGCCTGTCAAGTGCTGTGCTGGGTTCTGAGACACAGGTGTGAACAGAGACTCACAGTCCCTGTCCTCATGGAGCTCTAGTTTGAGTGGCAGGAAGGGGGGTGGACAGTAAACAAATCACTCATGTGGCACAGCTGAGGCCAGCGCTCCAGGGTGCAGCCTCTCTCACACCTTCAAGGAGGCCGAGTTCCACTAGAAACCGTGCCTATGGACATGAACAGACATTCTTAAAAAAAAAAAAAAGACACACAAATGGCCAAGAAGTACGTGAAAAATCGCTGAGCATCACCCATCATCAGAGGAATGCAAATTAAAGCCACAAGGAGAGATCATTTTACCCCAGTTAGAATGGCTATCGCTAAAAAGACAAACTATAACACGGTGAGGATGTGGAGAAAAGGGAACACTTAGCACCACTGGTGGGAATGTACATCAGTGCAGCCTGTATGGAAAATAGCATGATTTCTCAGGGAACTAAAAATAGAATGACCATTTGATCCAGCAATCCCACTACTGGGTATCTACCCAAAGGAAAATAAATCAATATATCAGAAAGATACCTGCTCTCGTGTGTTTACTGCATTATTCACAATGGCAAAGATATGGAATCAACTGAAGTGTCCATCAGTGGAGGACTGGATAAGGAAAATGTGGTCCATATACGTAATGGAATACTACTCAGCCATAAAAAAGAATGAAATCATGTGTTTTGCAGCAACGTGGATGGAACTGGAGGCCATTTTCTTAAGTGAAACAACTCAGAAACAGAAAGATCTCATGTTTTCAGTTATGAGTGGGAGCTCAATAATGTGTGCACATGGACGCAGCAAGTGGAGTGATGGCCGGATATGGTGGCTCACACCTGTAATCCCAGCACTGGGAGGCCAAGGCGAGTGGATCACCTGAGGTCAGGAGTTTGAGACCAGCCTGGCCAACACAGCAAAACCCCATCTCTACTAAAAATGCAAAAAAAAAAAAAAAATTAGCTGGGTGTGGTGGTGGGCACCTGTAATCTCAGCCACTCGGGAGACTGAGGCAAAAGAATTGCTTGAACCTGGGAGGCGGAGGTTGCAGTGAGCTGAGAGCGCACCACTGCATTCCAGTCTGGGCAATAGAGCAAGACTCCATCTCAAAAAAAAAAAAAAAAGAGTGGAAGGATGGACAACAGAGACTCAGAAGGGTGGCGAGACAATGGGAGGGGAGTGGATGATGAGAAATTAATGGGTAAAACATACACTATTTGGGTGGTGGTTACAATAAAAGGCTCAGACTTCACCATTATTCAATATAGCTATGTCCCAAAATTGTACTTGCACTCCTTCAAAAAAAATAAAAAGAAAAGAAACTGCCTCTCTGAATTCAAGGAGGTGCGGCTGGGAGGAAAGGGTGTCAACAGCCATATATAAGTTGTGAGTCACAGATGGCCTCATGCACCCCCTCTCCCAACACTGGGCTTCCTTTTCCTCTTCCATAAAGCAGGTTGGCCCAGGTGGCTGCTGAGGCTCCTTCTCTTGGATCACCTGGGCCAAAGTGAAGCCCTTGGACCACATCTATCAGAATCCCTTGGTGGGGAAGGGTGCGGCTAAAATTCAGATTCTTGGGCTCCCCTCACACTTTCTAAGCCCAAGTCTCCAAGTGTGGGCCCAGAACCTGCAAGTTTAGCAGGAAAGCTGAGTGATGCTTCTGCGCCCCACATCCGAGGACTCGCCGGACCGTAGTTTGCTGGGAGCCTGGAAAGTCAGGGCAAGTTCAGTCTGTGCAAATCCTGCAGCAGCGTGTTTCCTGACAGCTGTTACTGAGCCTCCTAAGAACAGCCCGGTCGGCTGGCCCCTTCCCTCAGGCCTTGTGAGGCCCAGAGAAGCCAGGAGAGCCAAGCCTGCCTTCTGACCTCCAGCACTGCGGGATAGGAAGTCTGCATGGCTTGGGCTGCTACATTTGCACTCATTGTGATGGTCACAGTTACAAGAAGCAGCCACCTCTTCCTTACTTCCCTGTCCTCTCACTGTGCTTCTGCGGGTCACCTCCCAGGTAAACAACCTGCCCCCAAATCCTCGCCAAGGTCTGCTTCTGAGAATGCCCCACGTACGAGAAGGGAGGCACGTGTCCGGGCTGCGAATGCCACTTAAACCTGGAATGAAGCTGCCACCACACTTTGACCTGCTCATTCATTTGTGCCAGGTGCCATTCCAGGTGCTGCGTGGAGGGCAGAGACCAGGACAGAGGCAGTGGGTGAGGGAGGCTGATAGCGCACAAGTCCACGGGCAATGCACACGATGGCACCTGCTGACGGCGCCACAGACAGACATGTGAAGGGGTAGAGGACGTCCCTACGTGGGACCTCAGTTGGGACCTCACCTCTGGTGGACCGCCTGGGAGGTCTCATGAGCACCACCTGCCGTCCTGCTGCCCGACGAAGGGTTGCTGAGTTCTTGCTTTTTCCGCAGCTTGTAATTTTCCATCCTCTCACCTAGACCATTTAACACAAGACAATCAGGGACTCTGTTTGGAAGATCGACTGTGCCAGGGCTGGGGCAGATGCTGGGGTGCAGGGTAAGCGGGACACACCAGCTCTCAAAGAATGTCTCATTCCACCAGCACAGGGACAGGGCGTTGTGTGTGCCAACAACACGGCTTCCATCACGGACCAGGCACCGCAGAAGGAAACGATCTATGATGCGCCCTGTCCACCTGCTTCACCTCCAGCTTTCTTGTATCAGGAGAAAGGGGGGCTGACTAAGAAAAAGTCCACACTGAGAGGGCACCACAAAGAACTCAAAAGCCACACTGTAAAGGAAAAGTGATTGGCCAGGCAGAGTGAGGGCACAGTGCTGAAGTGGGTGCCCTCCAGGGACTTAGGAAGTCTGGGCTCTGAAGTCATGCTCCATATCTTGGAACTCCTTCTTGTTTGGAGATTAAGCTGCTCAGAAAACTCTTGACTTTTAAAAGCTTTAAAAGTAAAGTGAGGCCGGGTGAGGTGGCTCACACGTGTAATCCTAGCACTTTGGGAAGCCGAGATGGGTGGATCACCTGAAGTCAGGAGTTCGAGACCAGCCTGGCCAATATGGTGAAACCCTGTCTCTACTAAAAGTACAAAAATTAGCCAGGCGTAGTGACGTGTGTCTGTAATCGCAGTTACTTGGGAGGCTGAGGTAGGAGAACTGCTGGAACAAAGGAGGCAGAGGTTGCAGTGAGCCGAGATCATGCCACTGCACTCCAGTCTGGGCGATAGAGCGAGACTCAGTCTCAAAAAAAAAAAAAAAAAAAAGGAAAGTGATGAGGCTGCCTGAGACAGGCATGGTTTAGACCTGGTCATCCCAGTATAATTATTAATAATGCCCCTGGTTTGGACAGGCAACTAACTATAAGACTACCTCTTCAAGGTACCTCTCAGCTGAAAACCCAACTCACGTATCGGTGGCCGTGGCAGGAGGCCCATCACACTTAACTAGCTGGATGAGTTTGCTGGCACTTACAGGGAGATTTAACCTGGATGGCCTCTGGGACATAGCATGTATGACTCTTAAATAAAACATTACTAAATAAGGAAAAAGGAGTTGATGTGGCTTAAGTTAAGCTATATTGTTTCAATGTGTTTACTGTGAAATCCCTGCATTAGAGCTGGGGTATCAGGAAGCAGGAAATAAGAGCTGAGAGGATGGATGGGGGCTGGGGTGGGGCAGTCTCCAACCCTAGTCCCACAGATGGGGAAACCAAGGCCTACCGAGGGAAAGAGACATGCCCCAGTTCTGGAATGTTCTGCAGCAGCAAGCAATGTCTGTCTCCTGCTAAATGAGCCCAGCTCTTCCTTTGGAAAACCTGGCAGATCTCTGGGCACATGCCAAGATTTTATTTGAATCTAGGCCTCAAATTCCTCAGGAGAAGGGGCAGACAGAGGTGGCCTCTGGGCTCAGCTGAGAGGAGAAACACTCAGGGAAGCCTCTCCCGGGATCGATTCCAACTCCGGTCCTTGGACACACCAGGCAAAGCCCATCAGAGAAGAGGAATTCCTGCTTGGAAGCTCTGGATTCAGGGGAGGGTGTTATAAGAAGTGGCATTTATGAAACTGGCTTCCAACCATCCTTACCTGTATGTTCCTGGAACTGGGGATACTGTCCTTTCCATCACCCCAGGGTGGCCTTTTACAAGAGCCTATGCAGGAAAATTCTTGGGGTCTCAAACACCCCCTGGGCCACTGGGCTCATGGTCACTGTGGTAGCTTTAACTAAGTAGGTCTCCATCTCTTTGACCACCAGGAAGCTCACAGACAAAATCACTGAATGTCTAATTAGGATTTGCAGGCAGATGTCCTAGATCAGGGGTCCCCAACCCTGGGCCACAGACTGGTACTGGTCCCTGGACTGTTAGAAACCCAGCCACACAGCAGCACGTGAGTGACAGATGAGTGAGTGAGGCTTCATCTGTATTTACAGCCGCTCCCCCATCGTTCACATTACCGCCTGAGCTCCACCTCCTGTCACATCAGCAGCGGCATTAGAGTCTCATAGGAGCGTGAACCCTATTTCAAACTGCACCTGCGAGGGATCTAGGCTGTGCGCTCCTTATGAGAATATAATGCCTGATGATGTGCCACTGTCTCCCATAACCCCCAGATGGGATTGTCTAGCTGCAGGAAAACAAGCTCAGGGCTCCCACTGATTCTGCATTATGGTGAGTTATATAATTATTTCACTGTATATTCCAATGTAATAATAATAGAAAGTGCATGATGGACGTCATGTGCTTGAGTCATTCCGAAATCACTTCCCCTTCACCCTGGTCTGTGGAAAAATAGTCTTCCATGAAACCAGTCCCTGGTGCTGAAAAGGCTGGGGACTGCTGTCCTAGATAAGCCCTGGCCCTGACTCCATCTCAGTATCCTATCCTTGTCCTGAGTGATCGACTTAAAACACTCCCATTGCACTGGATGTGTCCTTGTGCATATGGTTCTTTAAGTGCCTTTTGAAAAAGGCTTTTTGAGACAAAGCAGAGGATAAATAAATACATTAAAACATTGAAAGAATTAAATTCCCAAAAATAAAATTCACAACATCTGACATCCTGTTCTGCCCCAAACTAAAAGCACACGTTGCCAGCCTCTTCTGGGGCTTCCCCGAGGGGGGTCCCGTACCCTGCAGGGTCTTCAGGTGCTGCAGTTTTCTCTCCTCGTGGTCCTCCATGATCCTTCCGATATGCTGGTAATATGCCTGCACCAGGCGACTGACACCAGTGCTGGTCACATAGACGCTCTCCACTGCTGTCTCCATCAGTGTCCTCTGAGGGGAGAAAGGAAGGACGGACGGGGACAGCAGAGAAGTCACACGTGGGAGCCACCCACGGCCCATCCAGTCCCTGCCTCCCCATGCCCTGGTTCAGATCTTCCGCCTACTCACCAACCTGGATTGGTCAGGAAGCAGGCAGAGAGTGCATGGCTGGTTTAAGCTAGTCACGGGAATCCTATCTTCTTAGGTCAGGGATGCCTAGGGCTGGCTGTTTAATCTAGTTCTGGCCAATGAAATGTGATGTTAGGGAAAGTCTGCTAAGAGGCCTTCCCTTCTTTTTTTGAGATGGAGACTCACTCTGTTACCCAGGCTGGAGTGCAGTGGCACGATCTCGGCTCGCTGCAACCTCTGTCTCCCAGGTTCAAGTGATTTTCCTGCCTCAGCCTCCCAAGTAGCTGGGATTATAGGCACGCACCACCAGTCCTGGCTAATTTTTTGTATTTTTAGTAGAGATGGGGTTTTGCCATGTTGGCCAGGCTGGTCTCGAACTCCTGACCTCAGGTGATCCGCCCACCTCGGCCTCCCAAAGTGCCAAGGCCTTCCGTTTCTAAACATTAAGGTGGAGGACCAGCAGGTGAAAGACTGCTGTTCCCTCCTCCTGCCTGGAATGCAGGCCTGATGTCTGGAGTGACAGTGGCCATTTTAAGACTATGAAGCAACGAATTAACAGCAAGAATGCAGGGTGAGAAAGAAAGAGCCTTGTCCTTGGTCACATCACAAAGCCACTGTGGCAGCACCTCCACATTTCTTGTGCTATGGGCTATTTCTTTGAGCCATATTACTTGCAGCTACATGCATTTCTACATGATACATCTTCAGACCAAAGCAGAAAAGACAGGAGACCCTGAGACATCCCATCACTGGGGATGTGTTGGTTGCGCACTGACAATTATCATCCTTTTCCTCATAAGAGGTTGGGTAAAAACCAGAAAAGCTCATCCCCATTTCGACAAATATTTAGTGGATGGTGCTAGGCTTTGGGTAAGAAAAAATGCCCACTTACTCTCACCGCAGCATCTGAGAAAGGTACCAGAGCACACAGGTGTGGAGCAGAGGCTGCGGAGGTGAGGAGACTGTACAGTCCGGGGTGGCCGCGCAGGTCTGAGCTGGTCTTCTAACTCCCGAGCCCCTGTTCATCCCTTACTGCCAATGGTTCTTTCCTTCTCCTCTGCCCCATCTGCAAAGGGGGCTCCCACTCTACCCCTCCAAGGACCCGGGCTCCGGCTTTGCACTTCCTATCGGGAGCTCCCATCCTCTTTCCCCGAAGGTCAGCAAGCCCACCCACATCTTCACATCCTGTGTGCACCTGCCTTCCTGCCAGAGTAGAGTGGCGGACACCCCACTCTGCACCTACCTCTCCTCCCTTCCCCAGGCCCTCCATCCTTGGCCACCCCTTCTCTCCTCCTCCTCAGTTTCCTTCTGGTCGGTCTCCCGTACCCATAGGTACACACATTTGCGCTAGTGTTCCAGGAAGCTTCTGAATACAGGTTGAATAAACGAGCATTCTTCTAGAAACTAAACTCAATGTTCTTGTTTTTTTGTTTTGTTTTGTTTTTTGTTTGTTTTTTAGACAGAGTCTAGCTATATCACCCAGGCTGGAGTGCAGTGGCGCGATCTTGGCTCAATGCAACCTCCGCCTCCCAGGTTCAAGTGATTCTCCTGCCTCAGCCTCCCCAGTAGCTGGGATTACAGGCTCACACCACCACATCTAGCTAATTTTTCTATTTTTAGTAGAGACGTGTTTCACTGTGTTGGCCAGGCTGGTCTCAAACTCCTGACCTCGTGATCTGGCAACCTCGGCCTCCCAAAGTGCTGGGATTACAGCCGTGAACCACCTCGCCTGGCCTCACTTCACTTTACTTTTTTGTAAGTGTGAAGTTGTGGTGGTACTGATTTTCCAATCTCAACTCAAAATCCCTCTGGAAAGCTGAGGACAAAACACGACACCCTTATACCTTATTCCATTTCCATGCAGCGAGCATTTCCTATTAGGTAACATGTGGACAATTTTAGGGACAGGGTGACATTCCCAAGATCACCAGCCAGGCACAGCCCTAATGTTTGGATAATCTGAGGCAGATGTGAGATTTAGAATAAGACAGGGTGTTGCAGAAATGTGGGTCCAGCCTCTTTGCTGCACAGACGCACAAAGTGACTCACTTTATGAGATGAAAGGAACTCCTTGGAAGGCTCCTGGAAGAGCTCCTGTGCTTCCCGAAGCCAGGGCTGCCTACTGGGCACAGGGCTGCAACCTGCTGCTGTCTGCCAGTCACAGACACCCTTCCTGCAGTGGCCTGCAGCGAGCGAGGTGCTGTAAGGGACACCCCACCTCTCCTTACAGCTTGTAAGGGAGGCACTAGGCAGACGCAGCGTGTGTGCTGGTCATTCTCCTGCAGCCCCAGCGCTGCCACTCACTAGGTGGGAGGCTGGAATATATCCTTTGCCCAATCGTAGGCCTCTTTTTCCCAACGGGAAGAAAAGTGATCCTGACCAGGCAAGGATTGTGGGGAAAATCCAACAAGATGAGATCGGAAAAAGCACTTAGTTAGACTTAAGTGCAACACTAATGTGACTGCTTACTGTTATCATTTTTATCACTATTGTTTATGATTATCGTCAATAGATAAGGAGTTAAACCACTATCTAACCAGCTGAATTGATTTTTCACGGCATTGCTCAGCTGTCAGGATGAACTCCAGAGAGCTCCAGTGTCTCAGCAGAGGCGGCCAGGGGTGCGGAAAGCACACATATCTCTCTTTCTGAGAGAGGGACTTGGGTTCGGATCCTGGTTCTGCCACTGACCAGCTGTGTGGCTCTGGGTGAAACCACATCCCAATCAGTGCTGCTGTAAAGACAGAGCCCGTGCTAAGGATGATGCAATGCAGGGCCTAACAGCAGGAGGAGAACCTGTGACCTGCTGCGACTGATCCTCCCCTTCTGTGAGGTAGAAGATCCCATCTTACGGATGAGAAAAACAAGTCATGGAGAAGTCAGTTAAAGTCTACTAGGCCACAAGCTCCATGAAGGGTGTGGCAGGGAGCAGACCCAGGCATGGACCCTACCCTGATCCTTCTTGCCCTCGGTGTCCCCAGGGACAGAGATCAGTGCATACCTTGAAGTCATCCCTGTCCTTGTCCCGGCTCTTGGTGGCCGCATTCCGTGCGTGCACCAGCAGCGCCTGCCCAATGGCACACTCCATGTGCTGCTGCAGAAGCTGCCCCACCTCCTGGGCCTCAGCCAGGAGCCGCTGCTGGAGCTGCAGCCGCGTCTGCTGCGCTTCCTCCTCCAGCCGGCTGGCCTCCTCCAGCACGCGCGTCTCCTGGGAGAGAAAGTACTGGGAGTGGGGGCCAAGTGCGCCTCTCACAGAGAAGCTCTGGCCAGGACTGGGATGTGGGGTTGTTTCTGTTCAGGGCCCAGGGATTGGAAAAGGGATGGAGAAAGGGCAGAAAGGGCTTGCAAAAATCAATGGATGAGGTTAGGTGTCTGTTAGGTGTCTGTGTCCCCCGAAAAAGGGCATTTATTGAGCACCAACTGTGTGCCCAGTACCATCTATGACCCCTCACAAGATGGGGGGCCTTGCTCATCCTTCTAGAACATCATGAGACCTGAACACTAGCACTGAGGAGGACACAAAGGCTCGGAGAAGTTAAGCAACTTTCTAAAGTCACACAGCAGAGCCAGGTTTTGAGCCAGATGTGAGTCTCTTAGGACATCATAGAAGCTGAGGCAGGGCACACAGGGCCCTGAGGACTGCCTTTATTTGTAGAAGTAAGACAGGAAGAAGTCAGTGGGGGTGGAGAGAGGTCCGTGAGTCCTGCGTGCTCCTCAGAGCTCTCCTGGATAGAGCTAAAGAGACTGTGGGCTTGGGCCACATTCGTGGCTCAAGGAGCAGCAGCTGCTCCCAGAGCTTGGGGGCTACGTGCAGGAGGCCTGGAGTCAGCCTACCTGGGTGTCAATGCCAGCTCTACAACTTGCTAATTCTTTCTTTCGATCTGTCATCACACTTCAAAGAGACCACAGAGGCCTTCTCTACCACACCCCCAATGACAATTGCACCTGTCCGTACAGTTTTTCCAGTATATTTCTCATTATATCAGTGATACTAAAAACTTTTGGTACATGGGTGGCCCTACGGGGGCTCCATTGTCTTCACTTGTTATGCTTAAACTGTGTCCTCTCAAAATTCGTATGTTGAAGCCCTGACCCCAAGTACCTCAAAATGGCAGGTCAGTAAGTGGATAGTGCCTTTGAGGAGGTGATTAAGGTAAAGTAAGGTCATTAGCATGGGCTGTGATCCAATATGCCTGGTGTCCCTATAAGAAGAGACGGGTTACCCACAGAGGAAGGACCTGGAGGACACAGGTTGAAGACGGTCAGATACAAGCCAGGGAGAGTGGTCTCAGAATCAAAGCAGCCCTGCCCATACCCTGATCTCAGAATTCTGGCCTCCAGGATGGTGAGCAGGGAAATGTGTGCTGTGTAAGCCGCACAGTCTGTGGGGCCTTGCCATGGCAGCCCCAGTGAATGATTACCCAACCCTGCAGCACCAGGGGTGGTAGGATTTGGGTGCTGGAAGCTGGGGCCTGCTGCAGGGGCACTGCCTGTCTGGAATGGGTGGGGCCACCATGCTGGTCTTACCAGGGCCCTGAGCAGCTGCCACTGATGCTCGTCCAGGCACTGGGAGGACCCCTGCTCCAGCGCACGCTGTTCCCGCAGCTCCTGCAGGAGGTGCTTCTTCCCCGACAGCCGCATCTGTGTCAGGGTGGCCAGGGCGTTGCCACGGAGTGCCAGCCTCCGGAGGGCCGAGCGCAATAGCAGGTCATGCCCCTGCAGGACACACCGCGTGGACCTTTGAGGAAAGCAGGTGGGGGGTAGGGTCAATGCTCTTGGCTTCACGGAGCCAGTGACAAGCTCCCCAAACAGCCACAGCCCACAGGGAGCTCCTCCTAAAGGAAGCAGGTTGGAATCACCGCCCTCTAATGCCATCCTCTTAGGCATGGGTGCTCCCTGGGCACCACACCGCCATCTGCTTGTCTATTAATTTTTTTAACCTCATCACATCCTGCCCAGCTGTGCAACGCATGTGTACAGCAGCCTGTGGTATGCAGCCACTAGTATTAATGGCATGAATCAAAATCAGCACATCCAAAACTGAAATCTTGAGCTATTTTTGACTTCCTATTTCAGTGATTCATGTAAAAAACCTCAGCCTGCCAGAGGTTCAGCATTTGGTTGTATAACTTGAGGTGTCCGCTGAGAGGCTGAGAGGTGAACAGAGAGGTCTAACAGTCAGCTGCCAAGAAGAGGCTGGCAAACACTCCAGGCTTTTTGGTGGCTGCCTTCATCCTAGGAATAAAAGCCATTCCTCACAAAGACCTAATTCAGAAGCAGCTGAATTCCAACGTGGTGGAATGAATCTTCCACTATCTGAAATTCCTGCTAGAAGTAACATAAAATCCTCTCCGGAAAGAGATCGTATCATTTGAAGTCTTAAATTATCTCTACAATTTTTCATGCTTAGTGGTCATCATCCAATAAAAATACCCTGACATGCAAATAGGTGAGAATTAACTAAAAATAAAAGGAAAACAGACAATAGAAACATGCCCACAAGATATCAGAAAACAGAATAGTCAGACAGACCTTTACACTAATTATGATTAATATGTTCCAGAAATTAAATAATAAGATGAAGAATTTCAGCAGATAACTGGAAACTATACAAGGAATCAAATGGACATCCTAGAACTGAAAACACAATAACTGACATGAACAACTCAGGAGATGGGTTTAACACCTGATAAAATATGGCTGAAGAGAGAGTGGTTGGAACATACCTCAAAGGAAAATGTCCATGCTGAACCACAGAGAAGAATAAAAAATACAGAGTAGCATGTAAGAGACATATGGGATAAAGTGGAAAAGCCTCATAAATTCTGTCACTGGAGTACCAGAAAAAGAGGAGGGAGAGAATGGGTAGTGGAAGATCTAAAGAGAAAACATCTGAGAATTTCCATAAACTGATATGAAAACCCAAATATATACCAGCATGAGGATTTACATTAAACATAAATGGACTAGACATTAATACAATTAAAAGACACAGGTTTTCAGTCTAGACAAATTCCCCAGTCGCTCTCTGTTGTCCTCAGTATAGCTCACCAGGTGTCCCTGGTCTGAGCCTACTTATGTTTCCATCCTATTCTTTGTTTGCTTGGTTGTTTGTTTGTTTTTGAGATGGTGTCTCACTCTGTAGCCCAGGCTGGAGTGCAATGGTGCGACCTCAGCTCACTGCAACCTCCACCTCCGGGGCTCAAGTGATTCTTGTGCCTCAGCCTCCCAAGTAGCTGGGATTACAGGCACCCGCCACCACACCCAGGTAATTTTTTGTATTTTAGTAGAGACAGGGTTTCACCATGTTGCCCTGGGTGGTCTTGAAATCCTGAGCTCAGGTGATCTGCCCACCTCAGCCTTCCAAAGTGCTGGGATTACAGACATGAGCCACCTCACCCGGCCTCCATCCTCTTCTGATGTTTCCCCTGTATTATCCAATTCCATAGCTAGACACCTACTTCTTGATGGTATACACAATTTGTTTTCTGTAAAGGGCTGGACAACTAAAATAGTTATATCAATACCTGAAGGAAAATAAATTGAAAATAAATTCTACCAAAAAGACATATACACTTATACATAATACATATATATACATAAGTGTATATATAAGATATATACACTTACATGTTCATTGCAGCACTAGTCACAATAGCAAAGACACAGATTCAACCTAGGTGCTCATCAATGGTGGACTGGATAAAGAAAATGTGGTACATATACACTATGGAATACTATGCAGTCATAAAAAATAATGAAATCATGTTATTTTTAGTAACATGGATACAGCTGGAAGCCATTACCCTAAGGAAACTAATGCAGACACAGAAAACCAAATACTGCATGTTCTCACTTATAGGTGGGAGCTTAACATTGGGCACATATAGATATAAGGATGGGAACAACAGACACTGGGGACTACAAGAGGGGGCCAAGTGTTAAAAAACTATCGATGGGGTGTTGCATCCACTACCTGGGTGATGGGAGCTGTACCCCAATCCTCAGCATCATGAAATATACCTTTGTAACAAGCCTGCGCATGTGCCCTCTGAATCTAAAATAAAAGTTGCAAAATAAAACTAAAAAATAGCTATATCAAAATTTTTTTCTCAGCTGGGCATGGTGGCTCATGCCTGTAATCCTAACACTTTGGAAGGCTGAGGTGGGTGGATCATTTGCGGTTAGGAGTTTGAGACCAGCCTGGCCAACATGGTGAAACCCCATCTCTACTAAAAATACAAAAATTAGCCAGGCATGATGGCAGGCACCTGTAATCCCCCCTACTCGGGAGGCTGAAGCTGGAGAATCACTTGAACCCGCGAGGCGGAGGAAGGCTGCAGTGAGCCGAGATTGCACCACTGGACTCTAGCCTGGGCAACAGAGCAAGATTCTGTCTCAAAAAAAAACCCAAAAAAGCAAAAAAACCTCACATATATATATACACGTATTTTTTTTCTCATATGAAAGAAGGAAAAAAATACCAGCAAATTGAAAAGACCATATTGCACTAATAGTTATAGCAAAAATGTGAAAAATGAATATAAAAACTGATAATTGGGGAGTGGCTGCAAGAGGGCACAAGACATCTTTTAAAAATTGCATTGTAGCAATTTTTGGGGTGATGGAAATGTTCTAAATTTGGATTGTGGTGATGGAGTAGAACTCTGTAAATTTACTAAAAATCACTGAATTGTACTCATAAAATAAATGTATTGTAAATTATACCTGAAGAAAGCTGTTTAAAAAAGTTCCTGTGACAGACAACTCTATGAAGTAGATATCATTAGCCCATTTTATAGATGAGGAAATCGAGGCTAAGAAACATTAAGTCATTTACATTCAAAGGAAGCCGACGGGCAGTCAGTGTGCCCACTGTACAGATGAGGACACTGAGGCTGGACAGAGCATCATGCAGGACACAAAGCCCCAGGCCTTCAGGGAGCTGTACTCACTCTTCAGTGAGGCCGCCAAGTCGGCCCAAGACGCCGCGGATGGTGCCTTTGTGGTCCTCCCGCAGGTGTGTCTGCAGCACGCTGGACAGCACACACTCCTCCATCCACACCTGAACTCAGGACAGAGGGACAGAGCGGGTATGTGGTTACTCATTTCAACAATCCTCCTTGCTCAGATTGTGCATTTTGTTTCTTGTGTGTGTGTTTCTTTTTTAAATCCCTTTCTGCTCTGATTTCATTAACATTTTCTCTTGCATTTTCTTCTAAAAGCTTAAAATCTTTCCTATCTGCATTTAGGGAAAATGCAAATGGGAAAATTTTAAATACTTTAAATTGAAGTATCTAAAATTTATTTTCTGTGGAGTTAGGAAGGGATCTAATTTTCTCTGGATAAATGGATAATTAATTGTGCCAACAATGTTTATTAAATAATTTATTTATTTCTGGCTTTCCTCCAATGCCACTTTGTCTTGTATTATTAACATATACACACACATCTTGTCCCAGCTTCTGTATTTTCTTCTATTGGTCTGTCTATTTCTGCACCAATACCATGATTGCTAACGTTGCAGCAATTAAACATCAGTGCAGTGAGGGTAGGTCCTGTCTTATCCTCTTGTTCAAAGCTGCCTTAGCTATTCCTGGTTGCTTTTCCTTTCATATGACTTTTAGGATCAGCTGGTCAAGTTTAAAAAGTCTCTTTGGAATTTTCTCATAATTGGGTTGATTTTACAGATCAATTTGGAGAGAATCGCCATCTTTGCAAAATTGAGTTTTCCACCCTAAGACATGCCATTTCTCTCAGTTTTCTTTATGCCTTCAATAACATTCTAAAAACGTCTCCCTTAAGCTTGTATACATATTGGTCAACTTATTTTTAGGCATCTTGTGGCTTTTATTCTGAAGATGATCTTTCTTTATCACTGGATGTTGCTGGTATGGAGGAAATCTACTGGTTTGGGATATTGATTTTGTATGTGGTGACATTTCAGAGCAATCTTCATAGTTGTGACAGTTTGTAGATCCTTCTGGCTTTTCAATAGAGACATTCATATTATCCACAAATATGGTGCACAAAATTCGATGTAGGAGCTTCTGCTCATCCTAATTGACTGTGTTGTTCAGAACAGATCTTTTCATGGCCTGACTTACTGTCTGATTGGTCTGTTATTTTCTGTGAGATGGGGTATTAAAATCTCCCACCATAGTTTCAATTTGTTCATCTTTCAAGTCTGTCAAATTTTGCTTTAGGTGTTTTGTGGCTAAATTGTTGTATGTTCCTCTCACACTATGTAATGACTCTCTTCATCCCTAAAACATGTTTTCTGCCTAAAGTATAATTTGTCAGATCTTAGTATCATGCACTTTCTTTAGGGGGATATTTGCCTGGGATATTGTTTTCCTTCCCTTGGCTTTCTAACTTCTGATGATCTAGCTGTGTCTCCTGTAATGCCACATAGCTAGATTAGGAAATGTGTTTTTAGCAATCGAAATGAATCTGCTAGTATTTATTGTGACTAATGGTAGGCTTGGACTTATTCCCACCATCCAATCTGGTGTTTTCTAGGTATTATGAAAAGTGCATTCTTCTCAACTTGTTTTTCTCTTTTATTGGATTCACCATCTTTTAGGTCTCTAACCTGCATTTTGGGATACTTTTTTCTCTCCCTTGAAAGTCATATATTCTGCTTCGTGATTTTACTCTGTCAATGCACTGCAAAGACTGTCAGAGCTCCCCTGCGGCTGAACAGATTGGGTTATCACTTCATGCAGCGAGGGAGAACGTGTAGAGGGGTTAGAAAGGCCCAGGTGTGGGCTGTGGGAGGTGATCTGGGGAGGGTTTAATGAAGCCAGGCTTGGCTCAGCCAGGACGGGGTGTCTGGGCATGTTCGGGGTGGGGAGTTGGCCGATGTCCATGTTTGGTCTGTGTTCAGGTATGGTGGCCGGTTGGCCTCATTTTTGGCTCCACCTTTCATGGAACAGAGGGCCTCATCTTGTTGATGCCCAGTGGTTGGCTGTTCAATAGGAGAACACCCAGGCCCCGCTGTGAGTAACGGGCTGGCTTCTGGATGGGAGGCGCTGTTCTTTTCTCTCCCATGTGATTACTCTTCAGTTTTTAAGTTGTCTATTTAATTTGTAAATATAAAGTTAATACTTCTGCCCTCCTCCAGACTAGAAGGAGAAAGAGGATTCCAGTGTTCTCTCTGCCTTCTGGGATACTGCTCTCCATTATTGTGGTTCTGTGCTGTTTTCTAAATTCTTCATCTAAACTGTTCATTTCTAAACTCTTCAGTTCATTGTTTGAACCATCAATGATCCTTTGCCCGGGTATGATTTGTTATTTCCCTCACTCCCTCTGTTCTCACTCTTTCAAAAATTGCCTATTTTATTTCTACAGAATTAGATATGTTCTACTTCTATAGGATTTTGTCATCCTATTCTCCATGTCTCTTCTTCCATATTTTCCGTCTCTTCAGACCTCTAAGCTGTCTTCTGGGACCACCTTCTTACACTCATCTTCCAGTTCACACACTGTTTCTTTAGCCACCATTTAATCTGCTATTCTGTTAACTAATCCAATTAGATTTCTGTTTTCATTACTATAATGTTCTTTTTTCTTTGAGATGGAGTCTCACTGTCCCCAGGCTGAGTGGTCTCCTGTGAGATCTCAGCTCACTGCAACCTCCGCCTCCCGGGTTCAAGCAATTCTCCTGCCTCAGCCTCTGGAGTAGCTGGGATTACAGGTGCCTGGCACCATGCCCGGCTAATTTTTGTATTTTTAGTAGAGACAGGGTTTCACCATGTTGGACAGGCTGGTCTTGAACTCTTGACCTAGGTGATCCACCCACCTCAGCCTCCCAAAGTGCTAAGATTACAGGCGTGAGCTACCACTCCTGGCCTCATTACTATAATTTTCATTCACAAAGTATATCTTTTCAATGTATTGTCTTGTTTCTTAGTATATTGTTTTTAGGGCTATTAATCTCCTCTGTTTTTAAAAGAACACACGTTACAAGCACATTCTAACGAGGTCCAAGGTCCCACAGCTAATAAACAGTGAGGCAGGAACTGATATCTACATCTTTCTGTCTACAAAGTTCAAATATTTTCTAAATCCACCATGCTCCTCCCTGACGATCTCACATCACCAGGAGATGCACCTAACTCAGCAAGACCGTGCTACAACCAAGGACTCCATCCTTAAGGTGAGAGTCCTTCCCTTTTCCATGGCTTTTTAAAAGGCTCTACCTCTGGCAGCCTGGAGATGGCGCACACTGCATTTGGAATGCATATTAAACACAGAGGCCTGGACAGAAGCACCAGCAGCCTAGACTTCAGTTCTGGTGGACGCTGTGATTCGTAACACTTGTGCTTAACTCTCACAAAACGACACTATGCTATCTGGAACATTTCATTAAATCCCATCTCTGACTCCTCTTTGTGAGGAGTTTACAATAATCTGTCAGAGTGCTAGGGAAACCAGAACATTCTAGAAAATTCGGCACAGTCTTTTTTTTTTTTTTTTTTTTTTTTTTGAGATGGAGTCTCACTCTGTCGCCCAGGCTGGAGATGGCGCGATCTCAGCTTACTGCAACCTCTGCTTCCTGGGTTCAAGAGACTCTCCTGCCTCAGCCTCCAGAGTAGCTGGGATTACAGGCATGCACCACCACGCCTGGCTAATTTTTGTATTTTTAGTAGAGACGGGGTTTCGTTGTGTTGGCCAGGCTGGTCTTGAACTCTCAACCTCAGGCAATCTACCCGCCTTGGCCTCGCAAAGTGCTGGGATTACAGATGTGAGCCACCACGCCTGACCAGTCTTGATTCTTTGAAAGGTGAGTTTGCATTGCCATTAAAGTATATACGGGTCTTTGCTGTGTGTTTTGAGAATGTAGCTAAAACTAGCAACAGGATTTAACGATGATTGATAAGGTCAAGATCTCTGGACCAGATGGTGCCTGCAGTTGTCACACAAACCTCAAACCTCTTCAGCATTATCAAATGCAGGCTTGTACATGCTGACATTCAGAAGAGGTGCTTCCTCGGGCTAGAGTGCTGGTCATTGCTACCAGGTCATTTTGTGGCCTCGGGTAAGTTTTACTCTTTTTTTCAAACTCTCACGTATTATGGGGCGAAAGGGAAAGAGCTATTGATTGATGCCTAGTATGTGCTGAAAATTTGGGAGTGTCCTCCTGGAAACAGGGAGGGTTTTTAGGTGGGGTGGGCTCTAAAATCAACTCCTGAGGGAAACACTGGAGTGCTGGGGGTGAGGGGGGCACTGCAGTTTTAAACAGCATGGTCAGAGTAGGCCTCATAGCGAAGGTGACATGGAGCAAAGACTCGTAGCAGGGTGGGATGAGGCAGGAGCGTGGCTCCAGCAGGAGCCAGAGGAGTGCAAGGAACCAGCGGGGCTGCGGGGAGCATGCCGGTGCAGTCAGAGGGCAGCCAGGGCCTGACATGGTGGGCTTTGCAGAGTGTGGTGAGGTCTGTGGCTTTTATGCTGTGGGAAATGAGAAGCCACTGGGGGTTCTGCAGAGAAGCAACATGATGTGACTTAGTGTTCCCTATCAAATCTATTGTGCTGACGACTGTAAGATGCCCAGTTATTTCCGGTATCACTAACAGAGAAAAGTCACTGCCAATTAAATTAAAATGTATCTTGATTTCAGGGGTGTTAAAATATTTTTAAATGTGTATCCTAAAAATTAGTGGCATATAGGATGTCTTAAAACAGGGGTGTCCAATCTTTTGACTTCCCTGGGCCACACTGGAAGAAGTACTGACTTGGGCCACACATAGAATGCGCTAACATGAATGATAGCTCATGAGCTAAAACAAATGCAAAAAAATCTCATGATGTTTTAAGAAAGTTTATGAATTTCTGTTGGGCGCATTCAAAGCCATCCTGGGATGCATGCAGCCTGTGGATTGGACAAGCTTGTCTTAAAAGTATCATTCTAGCTAGCGGTTGAGAATGGAGGTAGAGCAGTTGGTCAGCTATTGCAGTAACCCAGACCAGAGTGGTTTTGACTAGGGTGCTAAGAGGGGAGGTGCTGAATAGTGGTCACATTCAGGATTAGACTGCAGGTAAAACCAATGGGATTTTGTGTCAACCAATGTAGGGTGTGAAAGAAAGAGGAGTCAAGGATGACCCCAAGGTTTCTGCCCCAATTTAGTACAAAAACGGAGGAAGGCTGTGGGTAAGGCAGGTTGGCAGGAAGAGCAACAGCTCTTTTTGACGCACGAATTTCTCAGATCTATCAATCATCTAAATGGAGACTTCATGTAGATCTGAGTTCAGGAACGATCCTGAGCTGAGGGTGTAAATTTGGAAGCTGTTGGCTCTCAGTCCAATGACCCTTGAGGAACTGAAACCTGACAAGAGCCATGTGAGTGAGCACGGAAGTGACTCTTCTCCAGTCAAGCCTTCAGATGAGACTCCAGCCCCAGTCCAGGGATTGGATGTTGCCTTGTGAGAGGCCCTCAACAAAGGGCCCAGTTAAATTGTGCCTGGACCCCTGACCCACAGAAATTGTGAGACAGTAAGTGCAAGTTGTTTTAAGCTTCTACTTTGGGGGTTACTTGTTACACAGCATTAGAAAACTAATACAGATGGTGTGTGACTGGATGGGATCACACTGAGACAGTGCATGTAGATAAAGAAGAGGATTGGATACTGCACTCCAGGGCTCTCCAGTGTTCAGAAATTAAGGAGTTGGGAAGGGGCCAGCAAAGGAGACCGAGAAGGAGAAAGAAGTGAGCTGGGAGGAGAAGCAAGAGAGTGAAGTGGGTGTTTCAAGGAGGAGAGAAGAGACCAACTTGGCCAAACACCACGCCTGAGTCCAGTAAGAGGAGGCCTGAAAGCTCTGCACAGAGGAGAGCAGACTTGGTGATGAAATGATGAAAACCACCTGGAGTGGGGTGCAGAGAGAGGGAGAGGAGAGTGAGGTGGGGAGCCAGGATTCAAACTCAGACAGACTGCCTCTAGCACTGGTGTTCTTTACTGTTTATGCTAAGGAGTGCACCAACTGCCACATTCCCTGCCCCACTCCTACCACTGGTGTGTTAGTTTCCTGTGGCTGCTATGACAAATTATTACAAATTTGGTGGCTTAAAACAACACTTATTACCTTACACTTCTGGAGATCGGAAGCCTGAAATGAGGGTCGGCAGGTCTGCACTCCTCCCCAAGGGTCTGGGGCAGAATCCATTTTCTTGCCTTTTCCAGTTCCTAGAGGGCACCTGCATTCCTAGGCTCACAGCCCCTTCCTCTGTCTTCAAGTCCAGCAATGGCTGCAGAGTCTTCCTCACTGCCTCGCTCTGGCACTGATGCTCCTTTTTCACTTATAAGGACCCTTGTGATGACATGGGGCCCAGCCAGATCACAGGGAGAATATCCCCATCTCACGATCCTTTGCTTAATCACATTTGCAAAGTCCTTTTTGCCTTGTAGCCAGACATATTCACGGGTTTTAGGGATTAAGATGTGGGTCTCCTTGGGGGGCCATTATAGCCACCTACCGCAAAGGGACTGGGAGAAGCCCAGACATCTACATTAGAGCAGATTAAATTTTGAAAAACACCATTCTACAACCTGTTCCAACAGTGTAATTCACAAATTCCATAATTTTTAACCACTTCCCTGAGCAATGGGATATGAAACAATCAACTGTCTTTTTGCATAGAAAACAATGTGGGAAAGGCAATTTGCAGTTGATGTGTTTTTGATTTTCCATGAATAGCCTCATTGGTGCTTTTCTTTTCATGGCTAATATTCATCTGAACCACAGAGAGCTCATTTCTCCTTTTTTTCATCAGTGAGGAAATATGGCAGGTAGATCTCTATCGTGTGTTAATTAATTAATTAAATTTATTTTATTTTATTTATTTTGAGACAGAGTCTCGCTCTGTCGCCCAGGCTGGAATGCAGTGGTGCAATCTCGGCTCACTGCAGGCTCCGCCTCCTGGGTTCACGCCATTCTCCTGCCTCAGCCTCCCAAGTAGCTGGGACTACAGGCACGCACCACCATGCCCGGCTAATTTTTTGTATTTTTAGTAGAGATGGGGTTTCACCATGTTAGCCAGGATGGTCTCGATCTCCTGACCTCGTGATTCTCCCGCCTCGGCCTCCCAAAGTGCTGGGATTGCAGGCGTGAGCCACCGTGCCCAACTATCATGTGTTAATTTAAGGCAATTAAGTAACCAGTAAGTTAACTATGACATAGACACCTTGAGAAAACAGTCTTGGGTCATACTTATGTAATCAGTTGATGAGGTAATTAATTCTCCTGCTTCCTTCCTGCATGCAAAACTCAGCTGGAAATCTTCCCCACATGCCAAGAAAAATTCACAATCATATGCTCACAAAGTAAACAAATAAAACATTACAAACAGAGCTGTGCATAGTCTACTATTTTCCTAAAATAACTTAAGACTCATAACCAGAGAGTTTTAGATGAATCATAGGTGTTTTGTCAGAAATGAAATTCTGGATTCCTTCACTGTCAATGCCATTAAATGAGTCAATAGATACTGTGCAAAAAGTCTTTTAAATGAGTCAATAGATACTGTGCAAAAGGTCTTAACTTGCATTATCTCCATGCAGTCATTTGGATATTGTGACCCTTAGTTTTCACACAGAAGCTGGAGTTCTGAGGTATCTTTAGCAAGCTGTGTAAAATCAGAGTTGCAAGAGGTCAGCTCACTGGCTAAAGTCACACAGCCCGTTAACGTGCCTGCTCTGGCTCAAACCCCTGTCTCAGGCTTCTGAGGTTATGGGCCTGGCTGCAAAACCACAATGGTCTCTAAAAGGCCCCTACACTCATTTAGTGGGTCCACTTCAGAGGCCCATTAGGCTTACTTGGTTTCTCAGGTCCTGCTCCCTCCCCAGAGACTGTAAATGAATTGGTCTGCAGCCCAGGATTTGGAATGAATTGGATGAATTCAGCTTCACTTAGATCCCTTAGAAGAATACAAGGCAAAGGCAACACTGTCATCATTTCCAAAGCTGCATTATTGTTGCTGGAAATGCAACAAGTTTTCCTGAACATTTGCCATATTGCAGCCACCGGGCTTTGAATAGGCAGTGTAAAGATGAAAATCAGGGTTGCCGTCCTCAAGGAACTCATAGCCAAATGCAGGAGACAGACAAGTCACCTATGACAGGGCAACCAGATGCTACTGACAGAGGACTGAATGAACTAGAAGGAGGTCTAAGAATTCATTCGGGCAGGCAACTAGGCCCTGTGCCTGTCCCCACAGCTGTGACTGGTCATGCGTTTGCACAATGCTTTCCTGTATCTACTTTGTACTTTCTATTGCCCCAAGGAATTGTTTTAGGAAACCTCTTTTAGATGGATGCATCAGTCAGACTGATCTTTTGTAACTAATTGCAAACCCAACTTAAAGAAACAGGGCTTGTTTCTGACAATAAGCATGTAGGGGCTGGCGGTTCAGGTCTACAGCAGTGGCTTAACAGCACCGCCAGAGGCTCGGGGCTGTCTGAGACTGTTCCAACCACTGGAGCCCACCAGGCTCACACAGGCTGCCTCTAGGGCAGAGAAAGGCTGATACACCTCCAGGCCTCCCGTGCGTTCTAGGAAGGAAGAATGGGACACTGAAGAAGGGGGCTGCTCCAAGCAAAACCAGCTTTGGTATCAGGAAACAGAAGCCCTTTGCCTTGTTTCAAAGGCCAGAGCAGTGTCACTCAGGGATGGCTAGTTGCAAGGGATATGGATATTGAGGATGTTAGTTTCACAGTCTCTAGAGGGCCGAAGGCAGGGGAGAAAGGACTTGTGGGCGGTCTTGGTGGATGCTGAATTTGGAAATGCCTTCTTTCATTTAACAGTTTATAATTTTTTAAAGATAAAATCAATACGGCTGGGCGCAGTGGCTCACGCCTGTAATCCCAGCACTTTTGGAGACTGAAGCAGGCAGATCACTTGAGTTCAGGAGTTTGGGACCACCCTGGCCACCATGGTGAAACCCTATCTTACTGAAAATACAAAAATTAGCCAGGTGTGGTAGCATGTGCCTGTTATCCCAGCTACTCGGGAGGCTGAGGCAGGAGAATCGCTTGAACCTGGGAGGCGGAGGTTGCAGTGAGCTGAGATCGCACCATGGCACTCCAGTCTGGGTGACAGAGCAAGATTCCATCTCCAAAAAAAAAAAAAAAAAAATCAATCTGTATTATTAGTTTCTCATTGCTGCTGTCCCACATTGCTACAAGCTGTGGCTGAAAACAACACAAATCTATTACCTTACAGTTTTGAGCCTAGGAGGCTGAAATGGGTCTTAATGGGTTAAAATCAAGGTATCAGCAGGGCTGTGCTCTTTTTTGGAGGCTATAGGGGAGAATATGCTCCTTGACCTTTCCAGCTTCTAGAAACAGCCAGAGTTCCTAGGCTCACAGTCACAACATTCCGACCTCTGCTTAGAACATCAACCCTCCTTCTCTGACTCCCACCCTTCTGCCTGTCTCCTGTAAGAACCCTTGCTGGGCTTACCAGCATCCCTACCTCAAAATCCTTCACTCAACCGCACCTGCTTTTTGCCATGTAAGGGAACACAGCGTAGATCTCTTTGGGGGTAACGATTCTGTCTCAGCATAAATCCATGATCTTCATAATCAGACTCTCACTGAAAAACAGGAGTCCCGTGTGTACCACTGCCCCACCCCCACCGAGTCCACTCCCTGTGAACCGCTTTCCTTCCTGCTATTTGGTTGGTTACTCATTTCTCTCGTTCTAAAGAACAAGCTTTGCTGCTCTTCTTGATCAATTAACTTAAGGTATGATCTCCGACTTCCCGCTGAGGGAGATGATGGCTCTGCTCTCTCATCCCGCCCTCGTGGTGGGCCATTGTGAAAGGGAGGCAAGAGTCATCTCCGTGGAGCACCTATAATAGGCAGCAGTGGGCGTTCAGGATGTGAGGTCTCTCACGCTTCTTCATGTGTTTCTACAATGCAGACCCCAGCCCCCGGGTTCCCAAATGCCCGCACCTGCTGGTCTCGCTCTTGGAGCTCCTGGAAGAGTTCCCACTGCTGCCTCCGGAAGCGATCTGACTTCCCCAGCTGCCAGGCAGCGTTCTCCTGGACTTCCTGCCTCAAGTAGTCACATTCTTCTGCGGGGAGGCCAGTCATGCCAGGGAGCGTCTGAAGGAACAGGGCGTCCACGAACTTCTGGAAAGTGTCCATGGTGCTGCAGTACAGCTCCTGAAGCCGAGAACCACAGATGGGGTCACAGGTCATGGCAGGACCCTGTGTGGGGTCTCAGCTGCTCTCTGCCTCTCCTCCACAAGCCTCCCACAAGACACAAGGAGACCCACAGACAGGAACTCTCAAGTCACACATATGCAAGCATGCATAGACACATACACAAGTACACTCCCCCACAGGCACACACACTTGTACACACAGACACATGCACATGTACTCATACACATATGCATGCAGACAAGGCACATATACACACATGCACACACACACACGAACACATGCATGCTTTCATACACATCTGAGCCCTGCACACACTCCTACATACATCCATGCATAGACAAGTGCACATGTACACACATACACTCATATATACTTGCACAGTGACACACTCTTACACACACACACATGCATAGCCTTGAGATGCACCACTCTCAAGCTCCACTCAGCCAAGCTTCACACCTGTTCTCCTCGCCAAGCTTCACACCTGCTCTCCTCGCCAAGCTTCACACCTGCTCTCCTTGCCAAGCTTCACGCCTGCTCTTCTCCCCCAGTGAGCTCTTCATCTCTGGCATCTCCTCAAAACCATCATTTGGGCCTCCCCTGGGTCACTGTCTAGATTATTTTCACAATCCCCACTAGTCTGTCTCCCCCTCCACCCTCCATGCTTAAGTGAGTTATTTTCGTAAACTTCACGTCTTATCATGAGTCCTCCTGGCTCAAATAACATGGAAGATCTCTGTTCCCCTTACACTCAGGATCACCCAGCAGGGCTTCCGGGCAGCTCAGAGATGGCCCCAGCTGTCCTGCTTCTTGTCTCATCATTCTGTTGCCTTCCTCCCCCACCTCCCCCACCCTGATATCTTTCTAAAAACTATGAAAAACAAACCCACACCATAATAATAATATTAAACACCTGTGAATCCACCACTCACATCTTTTTCTTTTTCTTTTTTTTTTCATTTAAAACATGGAACCTTACAGGTAGCCGGGCATGGTGGCTCATGCCTGTAATCCCAACACTTTGGGAGGCTGAGGCGGGTAGATCATCTGAGGTTGGGAGTTGAAGACCAGCCTGGCCAACACAGTGAAATCCTGTCTCTACTAAAAAATACAAAAATTAGCCGGGCATGGTGGCGCAGGTCTGTAATCCCAGCTACGTAGGAGGCTGAGGCAGGAGAATCACTTGAACCTGGGAGGCGGAAGTTGCAGTGAGCTGAGATTGTGTCACCGTGCTCCAATTTGGGTGACAGAGAGACTCCATCTCAAAAAAAACAAAAACAAACAAACAAACAAAAAACATGGAACCTTACAGGTTAAGTTGGAATTCTTTATGGCTCCCTGCAATTCTTTTCCCCACCCTCTCAGCCTCAGACAGCCATCCCCATGAACGCAGTGACCCTCTCTCCAGTTTACACGTCTACACTTTCCCTGCATATCATGTTCATAAAGGTGGCTTTTGGTGTGTGTGTTCATTCACCCCATAAATGGCATCTCATTGCATGTTTCATTATGCAGATGCTTTTTGTTTTGTTTTGTTTTGTTTTGAGACAGGATCTTCCTCTGTCGCCCAGGCTGGAGTTCAGGGGTGTGATCACGCTCTCGACTTTCTGGGCTCAGGTGATCCTCTCACCTCAGCCTCCCAAATGGCTGGGACTATAGGAGTATATGCCACTATGCCTGGCTAATTTTTTTATAATTTTTTGTGGAGACGAGGTTTTGCCATGTTGCTCAGGCTACTCTCGAACTCCTGAGCTCAAGTGGTCTGCCTGCCTTGACCTCCCAAAGTGCTGGGATTACAGGTGTGGGCCACCACGCCCGGCCCAGAAGCTTTTTAAAGCCACTCCTTTTGCCCCATCTCCAATTACTTTCACACCTAGAATGGACTCCTCACCCTGAAAAATTCCTCCAAAATAATCCCTTCTCTGGAACCTTCCCTGGGCCACTAACATGGGCATTTCTGACCCTGAGCTCCCACCAGCCGTTTGGTTAGCCCACCACGGTATCTAAGCTACAGTTTATCTGTCATCCCCCAAGACCACAGCTCCCCGATATAGCAGTTTTGTCACACTAGGGTCTGCACCCACATATCATATCCTCCCCAACCAAGCACGTGCCGGCAGTCCCTGAATACGCCATGCCCCAACGCAACTAGAGCACCCACGTCCCCCTCTACCCAGGAACTCTCCTCGCATGTTCCAAAAATCAATTCAAGGTCTCCTTTTCTGGCAAGGCCCCCTGACCACAGGGTCTCATTAGGTGCAACGTAGCTTAGCTGAACATCTGCTTTCCTTCCTGGAGCCTGGAATCTTGATACATGACAGGAAAGAGGTGTGCCCGTATGACTGATTCCAACAGAACCCCTGGACTCTAAGCTCAGGATGTATTCCCTGGAAGACATTTCACACATGCTACCGCAACTCATGTGAATTAAGTGCATCCCGTGTGACTCCATGGGGAGAGGATTCTGGAAACTTGTGCCTGGCTTCCTCTGGATTTTACCCCTTGTAGCTTTTCCCTTTGCTGATTTTGCTTGGAATCCTTTCACTGCAATAAGTCCTAGCCATAGGTACAACTATAGGCTGAGTCTGTGAGCTGTCCTAGTGAACCACTGAACCTGGTGGTCTTACGGACCCCAGAGGAGGTGCCCCTCCTTTGCTGCTGCCCCTCCAGCACTCACCACCCTTTGCAGGCACTGGCTGTGTGATTGTCCTTCTCATGGACAAAACCACAGAGTTTCTTCTTACCACCTTTTCATTTGCAGGGCCTAGCAGAGTCCCCAGGAAATGACAGGTGATAATAAATATAATTGTTAAGAATTACTAATTTGAGTCAAGAACACTGTTTTTGCATAATATCACTCAATCCATACAACAGTTCAATCAAGGCATTCTATTATAATTATCATCATTTTATAAATGAAGAAACTGAGGCACAGAGAAGATGAGTAACTGGAACACAGTTTATAGATGGCAGGTCCTGGCCATTGGACTCTTGGACTCATACCCTTAGCCAGTGTGCTACACGGATAATTGGTTTTTTGAAAGGAAAAAAACATATTCTCACACATAGACCTAGTATTGTGTATGTCCCTAGGTCATACTTGCTGTGCTCAATGAATATAAGTTAAATTTCGTTCAAATCAATGTGAAATCAACCTAATGAATGCCATACTCTTAAGCTCATGGCCAACCCTGACTTCGGTCAGAATAAAGTGATCATGACAAGGGCATATGGAACCCACATTCTTTTAAAAGATTTAGAGATTAGATTTCTGATATGGCTAACCAGATAACTTGGATCAATTCTTTCACTGGGGGTGAATGAAAAAGATAGGTGAACAAAATAATTATTAAATCTTCATAAAAGTTGCAAAGAGCTAACAAGATTGTGATGAGTACATAGGCCAAGGGCTGAGAAGACACATCTGGAGGGTAATACTCAGCCTTTGGGCTGCTTTTACCTGGGGAGTGTTGGATGATTCAGAGGAGATGAATGAACAGCTGAGCAGGTCTTTTGACAGCCTGAAGCTGTCAGGAGACAGAAGTTTGAGTTCATCGTTCATTATGGGTAGGGGCCTGGTAAACCATTCCACACTTAGGGTTGGGACCCAAAAAGGCACACTGGAGAAATATTAGCAAAATGGAAGAGAACCAGCCCAGACTGGGTATACAGACTGTAACCTGGAGTCAAGTTATTTAGATTGCCCAGGATATTTTAAGCCCTGACTTCGAATTAAGGTGACCCTGGACCACTAGAGGTGCTGATATCTGACAGTATCATTGTATACCTGAAATTATTTCTACAAATAAATGTGCAAATTTTAAACATAGTATACAAAATATAAACAGACACATGAGGATATAAGATAACATAATCAAAGACCTACACAAACAATAGGCATCAGAAACAAACCCACAGGTATTTCAGAGAGTAATTACAAGTCAGCATGTAATTACAAGACATGGTCTTTAAAGTATCAACGGTTATTATGCTCATGAAGTTAAAAGCCACTCTTAAACATTTAAGCAAGGAGCTGGAAATTATAAAAAGTGACACTACTTAGTTTAAAAAGAGCCAACTAGCAGTTCTAGAATTGAAAAATATTGTCCAATATTAAGAACTCAATGTATAGGTTTAATGGCAATTTAGGCGCAGCTGAAGAGAGAATTAGCACCATGGAAAATAGATCAGAAGAAACTAGCAGAACAAAGCAAGGGGAAACTAAAGGATGAAAAATATGGAGGAAAAGATAACAACATAGAAGATACAATGGGAAGGTCCAACATGTTAAATCGGAGTCTCTGAAGGGTTAGAGGGAAAGTCTGGGTAGAAGCAGTATTTGAAGAGATAACAAAATTTCCCAAACTGATGGAAGAAATTTACAGACAAAGAAACCAAGGCTTCCTCTTTACATGTAAAAGAGAAGTTAAATAAGTTGCACAAATTTACACACAGCTCTGACAGTTGGGGTCCAGTGCCCATGACCTTGATGCTACTCAGGTAAATATTTTTTAAAGAATGAATGCGTGAATGAATGAATAAATGAATAGCCAGCACCTAGCAAACACAGGGTCACTTTTTGCTACATGAATAGCAGATAAAATAGTCTTTAAGAAAAATAAAACAAAACATGACTAGACACAAAGGGGTCATTTCCTAATGCTGAAAGGTTTAATTCACTGGAAAAATGAAAAAGTTATAAACTTGTAAGTACTTAATAACATTACCAAATCAATAAAGTTTGCCAAGTTAACAGAATAAAGGAGAAAAATATTACACTGATTACCTCAATAGAGGAAGATAAAAGCATTTTACAAAATTTAATTTCTATGCATGAGGAACACACTTAGCAAATTAGGAACGGAAAGAAACTTCCTTAACATGATTAAAGAAAAAAAAATAACAGCTATATTACACATTATATCTAATGGTAGAAACCACAAAGCAATATTAAGAAAAACTAAATTAAATATGACCTAAATAAATGTATCAATCCA